GAATCTTAACATGTATAACCTTTGGAAAGAAAACAAGGAAATAAATGGAGATATTGAAAACATATGTTAGACTATGCTTGATGTTCATTTTTTTTGGGTGAAACCACAGGTATTCCCCGCCTATCCGTTTTACGGTCTAAGTGGAGACTAATCCTGTTCAAGGCATAGATGGATTACGGATTTTGCCTCTCCCTAATGCACACAACTGCATTCCCAGGACTCAAACCCGAGACCTCTGGTTAAGCGTAGACAGCCCATTTCCACTAGACCACAACATGCAATTTTGAAGCAGAAAAGAAAAAAAAGGACAAGGAAAATAGGATTTCCAATTTTTAAAAAGGAAAGGGAGGGATTTGTCATGACAAAATTGTCACAAGTTCCAAACTTTTTTTGTCTACCTATCAAGAGGCTGATTGAGAGAAAAAGAACTAGAGATTGCTTTAACTTTTGTGGTTATTGGTGTTGTTGTTTTTGCTAATATTAGTGTCTATACCTTCTTTTTGTGATGTTCTGCAATTCAACATGAAGTGTTACACCCCACCCTTCCAATCTAATGAGACAAGGTATAATAGTGGGACAGTAACCAACATCCTCTTGTGTCCAATAGACACGAAAGAATATCGATCACTACGACCTCTATCATGACTACTCGCTATACTTAATTTAGATTGCCTATATATTTTAATATATGTTTGTTGAATAATAAAACTTTCTATCTTTAATGTACAAGTAAACTGTTAACGCAACTGCCACTAGAATGCATGTGATGCAAAGTTAATGAGGCAATCGCTACTTTCACTAGTTAAGTGCTTCTAATACCTATGTGGAAAGACGAAAAGAGTGAGATTATTGTCCCAATGAATGATTTTTCAATTAAAATCAGGAAATATGAATATTTTCAAACACACATAACTTTCATAAAATGTAAACCTTTGCAATTAGATAGAGTTTAGTGAAATCATTTATAAATTAAATTCATATCATAGTATATACAAAATAGTAGTCATGTAATCATCATAGAAAAGCCATACCATACCACCCATTGAGACTACAAACCTAGCCATAGCTTAAAACATGTAAAAAAGCTATGAAAGGAAGCAAAAATATGAGTGGCTCTATCTGTCTGTAATTATGGCCGATACATGCAAGCAGACCAAATATAATCTTTGAATCATGTGTATCACATTATTCACATTGTACCATACATGTTTGTCTAAAATTATTGGGTGTTATTGGCCACAAGACTCATGCCATGAGTGCACCACTCCCATGAATGAACACACATGATTTGGTGGTGCTCTGCTCCTTTTACAGAGACAATGTCATGTAGGACTGCCACGTGTCCAAATCCATCCCCGTAATTACCTAACAAATTATGTAGGTGAATGATACCATTTTAAGAAAACAAACATGACATATATTCCAATAAAATGATTATGTGTAGAAATAATCACCATTCCTGTTTCCATTTTAGAAAACATAATAAAAACACAGTAAATTTATTCATTAATTTGAAATAGTAATTACTTGTCAAAATACTGAGTTTAGGAGAAAAACCACCCATTGGTATGTAGTTTGCTCTTTGACCTTGAAAGTTGACCAAAGGTTTTCTCATATTTATTTCCCCTTTTATTATAAGTTAATTGTATGCAGATATAAGTTATATACTCTAAATGTGAAATCAAAATGCATGCCAAAAGATCTAGATAACTTAATTGTTATTTTCCTATTTTATTACCCTTGGTTGTTCTCTTAATCTTCATTTCTTATGCTTAGCTTTTATCCCTGCCTATGGTTTCGGCTACCCTTGATATTGTACCCTGATCTTCCCTTAAAACTTCATAAAACCTTAAAGGAACATTAAATAATTCATGGAAGATGTACCCTTAAGCTAATTCTAACCTTATCTTAAAGTTTGAATCTTAAATACTTTTCTTAGAGTTTTGGTTCTTCCTATTATTCTAGCATGCTTTGAAGTTAAAAATAGCATACGACTCCTACGTGTAATAGAGCATGGAAAGACTACACATAATCTATGAAAAATATATGTAAACTTCTACTATAAATTTCTATGAAAAATATGCACAAACCTTCATAAACTAGAAGTTTTTATGTTTTATTTACTTTTCTTCCTTCCTTTCTCTTCTTCTCTTCCTCTTTTTCTTCTTCTTTTTCCCCTTTCTCTTCTTCTCTTCCTCTTTTTCTTCTTCTTTTTCCCCTTTCTCTTCTTCTCTTCCTTTTTTTCTTCTTCTTTTTCCCCTTTCTCTTCCTTCTCCCTTGGATGCCCTATGCTACAATTGGAGGCCCCCAAGGGATATTTATAGAACCCTTATATCGGTAGAAGTGCGCCCACCACCTATTAAGTTACTTTTATGACCCCTCATTTTTACCATTACCTTCCTTGCGCTATCTGTAGTAAAATGCCAACATCTGAAGGTACAAAACTTGGGATGACCTAATTTAAAAGGAGTTTTAAAGCTAACTTAATGGGCTATAATTTTTATGTTTTAGACTTGGTTTGGTTCTACATTCAAAAGGTTCAAAAATGGCCCAAAATTTGGGCTATTATCATAAAAACTCCTATTAGACCTTTGTTCGATTTTTGGGTTGTAACTTGAGTTACACAACTTAGATCAATATCATTCAAATTGGGTTGTAAAGTTATTTCAAGGGTTCACAACTTTGCTATTTTGACCTACACTTGATTTTAACCAAAGAGAGGTAGAATCTAGCCTAACAATGGGGTCAAAGTTATTACCTATCCTACAGTTCATAGTTTTGGGCCTATTTTAGTGAAATGCTTATAACTTGAGCTAGAGTGATTAGATTGGATGATTCCAAAACATATGGTTCACAAACTTGAAGGTTCACAATTTTCATGTTTTGATCCCAGCCTAATTTAGATTGGAGACTACCTAAAATTGTCCGAACAAGGGATCACAAATTTCAAACTTGACTTGAAGGATTCTTAGGGCAGTAGGACACCTACATGATGCTAGTTATACTTACTATTTGTCTCTTATCTATTTGCCCATGTCTAGCCCCATATTTATCTTTTCATAATTATGAATGATAGTTTACAACTCAAGTTCAATTTGGGATGTTACATGAAGCTTGTCTTCCTCAATTAGGATGGTGATGTATGTGTTGAGTTGAGATGTTTTGCAACTCAACAACTATTAATAGATGAGTAAAAGATACAACTATTGACATTGTTGCAAAAACTGACAAGAGCAGAGCAACCACCAATGACAACAATGATAATGACAGTTTATTGCTACTGTTCTTGTCTATTTTGACAACACAATGAGAGAAGTTTGGAGCTTTTTTGTGATTTAGCCAATGATATAGAGATCAATCCTTTATTAGAGGAAGAAAGAAGATAAAGAGTGTTGCTTTGCAATTTGGTCCCTCAATATTTTTTTCCTCTTTTTTAATTTAATCCCTATTATTTCTAAATCTTTGCGCTAGTTTACAAATTTTAAAATTTTTCATTTGAACTCTTGTTATAAATTCTAAAATTTAACTCGACTAAAAAAAATTCTATTCTTTTACTTAGATGAAACCAAATAAAGTAACAAAAGTGTTCTTTATTTTTCATTAAATAATACCAAATAAAGGAAGGAATGTGTATTCCTTTTCCATTTAATTTTTTTTTCTTATTATATCTCTTCTTTTCCTTTTCTCTTTATGATACCAAATATAGCCTTATAAATTAATAAATAACTTGTAAAAAAAAAATAAGAAGGTGATTGTTAATTGCCAAGGAGGGGTGTTTGTGTTTTGGTTTGAGACTCAACCCTAAACCAAACTTTATCTCATAGTTTGTAATTTTTAGAAAAGAAACCAAATCAAATCAAAGCATGAACTCTCAAGCACCAAATCAAATCACGATTTGTGGTTTGATCCGGTTTGAAATCATGGTTTATAAGTTAAAATTCACTAAACTTTGTACCAAACCTTTTGTCTTTACAAATTGTATATCTGTAGTAAAATCAATTAAATCTGATAATTAAAAATTATAGCTACCAAAAAAATTCAATAAATTAAATATTGATCTAGTATATAATAACCCAAATTAGAAAGTTATTAGAAAAAAATGAAAATTCAAGACAAATTAAAAACAAACAATAAAAAAGAAAATAAAAAGAAAATTGTCTGAAGATCGCAATGATAGAATAAATAAAGTGGAAGGGTCAAAATAAAAAGAAAAGAAAGTTGAAGGATTAAACTATAAATTTGAGCATAGTTTGTAGGAAAGTTCAGTTTATGTGATTTGGTTTGGTAATCAAACTATAAATTAAATTGTGAGAAAAAAAATAATCTAAATCAATTTGAACTAAATCATGACTTATATGAAACTAAATGAAACTACGATTTAGTTCAATTTATTCAATTTAATCAGTTTAGTTTGATTTGATATACACTCCTATTGTCAAGTAGGCAAAATAATTTTCTGGAACTGAATGGGCATATTTTATTCTATAAATTTGGTATAAATATACCATGTAACTCAAGCCAATCCTGTTCCAAAAAAAAAGGGCTTAAAATCTCCCAAACTCAGTTGAGTCTTTAGAAGGTTAGGCATACATCGAATTACAATTCAACCCTCCTAAGACTACTTTCCTAGTCAACTATTCCCTTGTCTGAAATCTGACATGTTCATATTCAAAAAGTTTTTGTATAGCTCACATTTGTTCTACACTGAGAATAATCAAAATGTTGAGCGGTGGTGTGCTTGTTGGCTTTGCATTGAAGTCATGTTTGTGGCTATGAAAAAGAGGGTTTAGATAGGGAATGCTGAGTGTTTCAAAGAGGGAGGGAAAGAAGATATTACCAATAGTGTAGCTTGGGACTCTCGTTCTAAAGACGGCGTGCAAGCCCATTGCTAATCGGCTCAAGAAGGAGGTTGGATTGCACCCAAAATTCCGTCAATTCATCATCAACATTGCCTAGGTCACCTTTTGCTAATCTATATCTTTATATATATGTATGAATTTATGAAGTAATGTCTGGAAGTAATAGCAATTGTGCATGTTGAATTCAATTCATGGTTTTGATTTGTCATTTTAGGATTGTGCTCTTCACTGGAATGTTGAAAGCCTTTTCGTTGGTGCACTATGAAGTGTTGTTTGTAATCTTCTTTTGATATTATGGTCTATTTTTGTAGCATTTATCTAACCTACGTTATTAATTTTATCTATTTCTTATTCTTTGGTTCTAGTAGATCTATTTTATTTTCTCTTATATATGTCAAGAATGAGAAAAAATGGCAAAATTTCCTTGAAGTTTTTCAAATTGGAGTTTAGTATCTCTTGATTTTCCTCTACTCTTCCTCTCCTTTCTGATCCTTTTGATTCCACATCATATGTACCCATAAATCATTTTCATGTTTTGTTTTTGGAGCTAGAACTTTATTCTGGCATCTTAACTTATATATTTATCTTTTTTCCAATTGTTTCTTAAATTATGCAAATGACATTGATCAGCTTATGTACAAATTTCCAATTGTTAAAAAAAAGTAGTAATATTGGTCATGCATTTCCCTTTATCTGCCACACAATCTTTTGTTTCATTGATCAAACATTTTTTGCTAAGTAGTTAGTTTTATTTTATTAAAGTTCATAAATGAAAGAAAATATCTTAAGGAGTCATTTTTGCCCAAATACATCAAATTTATTTCATTTTAAAAGAAGCGGAAAGAAATATCTCTAGCTGTTTATATTTACTTCTTTTAAGAGGAAACAAAGGGAAGATTTTTCTTTTAATGAACTATGTGGATTTGATGAATATTATATTTTGACTTATTCATATCATGCCAGGCAAATCATCAATTCACAACCAACATGAAAAGACACATATATGGTCATGCTACTGATGTTGTAATTCACCCTCTAAACGAGGAGAAAGCTGCCCAAGCTACCGTAGATCTTATTGGGGAGCTCTTTGTATTATGCTTATGTATCTCATGAACATACATGTCCATAAGGATCCACAATCTACTATCTCATCAAGTACTAGTTGAATCTAGGTTTTGTTATGGGAATTTAGCCATTTTGTTCTTATCATTGCTTATCTCGCTTATTCTCGTTTTGAATTGTATCATTCAATATTTTTATATATTCACTTGCATGGCACCCTGCTCAAGAACCAAATTATATGATCTGGTCAAAAGTTTAACTGTGATAGGTAAGCAAGGCCCCCACTGTAACATCCCAACTTGAACTTGGATTCTAATTTATCGTTCACCATTACCAAAAGATAAAATAAAGGGCTAGATGGGAGAAATTAGATAAAGGATGAATAGAAAAAATAAAAAGTATTATGTAAGTGTCCTATTGACATAGGAATCTTTTAAGTCTAGGTTGAAGTTTATAATATTTAGGCAATTTTAGGTAGTCTCAAATCTAAAGTAGGCTGGGGCCAAAACATCCAAATTGTAGGTCTTTAAGTTGGTGAATCACAAGTCTTGGAATCAATCCAATCTGATCACTATAGCACAAGTTATAAGCATTTTCACTGGAAGAGGTGCAAAGCTGTTGACTGTAGAACAAGTGATAACTTTAACTCATTGTTAGGCTAGATCCAGACTCTCTCTAGTCAAAATTAGGTTTAGGTCAAAATAAAAAAGTTGTGAGCCCTTGAAATACCTTTACAAACCAATTTGAATAATATTAATCTGAGTTATGTATCTCAAATTATAGCTCAAAAACCAAGCAAAGGACTAATGAGAGGTTTTATGCTAATAGCCCAGATTTCGGACCATTTTTGGATCTTCTACATGCAGAATCAGACATAGTGAAAAACATTAAAATTTTACCTCACTAAGTTAGATCTAAAACCCTTTCTTAATGATGTCATTTCAAGTTTTGTAGCTCCAGATATTGGCATCTTAGTGCAGGCTGCGCAAGAAAAGTAATAGTAAAAAGGAGTGGGGCCATAAAAGTAATTTCATAGGCTTGTAGGGCCCACTTTCACCGACCTAAGCGGTCTATAAATACCCCTTGGGGATCTCCAATTGTAGGATAGGGCAGCCAAGAGAGAAGGAAGAGAAAGGGGAGAAAGAGGAAAAAGAAGAGGAAGAGAAGAAGAGAAAGGAAGGAAGAAAAGTAAGTAAAACATAAAAACTTCTAGTTTATGAAAATTTATGCACATTTTTCATACAATATGCATAATAGAAGTATATGTATATTTTTCATATATTATGTATAATCTTTCCATTCTTTATTACTGTAGGAGTTGTGTACCATTTTTAACTCCATAAGCATGCTATAATAATAGGAAGAACTAAAATTCTAAGAAAAACATTTAAGATTAAAACTTCAAGATAAGGTTAGAATTAGCTTAAAGGTGCATGTTCCATGAATTATTTCATATTCTTTTAAGGTTTTATGAAGTTCTAAGGAAAGATTAGGGTACAATATCAAGGGCAACCGAACCATAGGAAGGTATAAAAGTTAAGTATAGGAAATGAAGATTAAGCGAACACCCAAGGGAACTAGAATAGGAAAATAATAATTAGATCATCTATATCTTTTGACATGTATTTTTATTTCACATTTAGAGTATATAACTTATATCTGTATATCGTTAACTCATAGGAAAGGGAGAATCAAATATGAGAATTCCTCTTTTAGGACCAAATATTGGACTAGATAACAGGTGAGTGGTTTTCCTCTTAAATTCAGTATTTTGACAAACAAATTATAATTTCAAATTAATGAATAAATTTTCTATGATTTTTTTATGTTTTCTAAAATGGAAACAGGAATGGTGATTATTTTCTGCACATAATTATTTTATTGGAATATATGCCATTTGGTTTCCTTAAAAAGGTACCATTCACCTAGATAATCTGTTTGGTAATCACAGGGATGGATTTGGACCCATGATAGTCCTACAAGACATTGTCCCGATAAAAGGATCGGAGCACTATCAAGCCATATGCATTCATTCATGGGAGTGGTACACACATGTCACGAGTCTCATGGCTAGTAGCATCCAATAGATTTAGATAGACATGTATGATATGATATGCACAATGTGACATACATGACTTAGAGATTATATTTGGTCTACGTGCACGTATAGCCCAGAGTTACAGACAAACAAAGCCACCCAGGTTTTTGCTTCCTTCCATAGCTCTTTTACACATTTTTAGCTATGGCTAGATCTGCAAGCTCAACGGGTGATATGGTATGGCTTTTTATAATAATTACACGTGTACTATTTTGCATATACTATTAAATGAATTTATTTTAATAATTTCACTAAATTTTATCTAATTGCAAAAGTTTACGTTTTTGAAATTCATATGCGTGTTTCAAAATATTCCTATTTCCCCTAACTTTAGTTGAAAAACCATTCACTAGGATAATATTCTCACTCCTTTCATCTTCCCACACAGGTGTCAGGAGCACATAGCTAGTGATCATAGTAGTTGCCTCATTACCTTGACATCACATGCACACTAGTGGAGGTTGGGCCAGTTGATTACTTGTACGTTGGTAAGTTGTATTATTCAACAGACATGTGTTAGAATATATTGGTAATCTAGATCAAGTATAGTGAGCCAGTCATGATAGGGGTCACAATGACCAATATTCTTTTGTGTGTATTAGACAGAAGAGGAGGTGGGTCGCTGCTCCGCTGTCATGCCTTGCCCCATTAGATAGGGAAGGATTGGGTGTGATAATTAAAGTGGTATCAAAGCCTAGGTTTTGGAAGTGTTAAAGGCTAAGGTTACAAAATGTTCAAAGTATAGGTTTATTCTTGGTAGATACATTTATGTTGCATTCTAGTTTAGAGTGACATTATAGGGGGAACATGATGCATACTAGGAAAGGAAAAGTTTGGGTAGTTGAGAGAATGGAGATTTGGCTAACCTCCTAGGTAAGCATTCAGTGCCATACCAGCTACACATAGAGAGGTAGGAACATTACATTTCTATGACAACACCTATAATACAAGAAACTTTAGTTTAATTGTTTATTCCCTGAATTTTGAGATTTATGAATATGATAGCTAGACTTACGAGGAGGTATTCGATAGAGTAAGAAATCTTGGAGGATTAAAAGGTTGCTTGTATTAGTGGTTCAGTTTAGAGGAAGAAATGATTTTAGGGAGATAAAGAAAAACCTTTGGTGATAAATAGGGAAACATTATATAGGGCTAAAGAGTGGAATGTGAGGAAATTGCTTAAGGATACTTTGTTATTTTGTGGATATTTGGCTATTGATGCAAAACATGAGGTATGAAAGATTATAAAGTTGAAATCTGATGGGGGTCTTGGATAATGGCAAGTTAAGAGATTTTGGTCAATGAATTAATAAATGACCAAGAATGGGACACTATGAGTTGGACTGCAAGTTTTGTATTAGAAAAAAAGAGGAGGTTAGGAAAGCTTGAAAAATATTGATAGATAGTTGAGGGCTTAAGGAGTGCGACCTTCGACTGAGGTAGTAAAAATAATAAAAGTACATTTTCAGCACAATTTCGAAATATGTACTTTATGCAATAATTAGATAGAATCGAGACAAGATGTTTTAAAGACATTTAGAGTATTAAGAAATGATTATTGGTAACACAAAACTTGTCTGGGAGCATTTTAGGGACATTTGAATTATAAAGTATGATTATTAGGGACTAAGAAGTAATTCTAGAAACTTCAGATGATTTGAAATTTCTTAGATAAGACTACTTGAGGAGAACTTAGGATAAAGTGATTCGTGATTTTATTAAAATAAATATAAGAGAGATTTAGTGGGTTAAAACTTATTTTGAGTGACCCTTAGAGTAATTATAAATTTCACCCTTATAGTAATTATAAATTTCATCAATAGAGTGTGTAAGGCAAAATCAAAATAAGGATTGGGAGTTTAATCAATTGACTAGAGAAATAGAGAGTTAATAGTATTACTAATCTAGATAAATAAAGAGATGGTCTTAAGAAAATAAAGTAAAACCTTTTGGTAATAAGCACGGGGATAAAGATGAAATGAGAGGTTATAGTTTAGAGATAAATTATACTTAATTAGTGGATAATTGACTATTGATGTAAGGTTGATGCACTAGGTAATACAAGGTTTGGATCTGATAAAGATTTTGAAAACCAATGCCAATTGTAAGGTTAAGAATGTGAGATAAAAGAGTTGACAATTAGGAGAAAAGAATAAACACACATGAGTTATCCTAATAGAAAAACTAGAGAGACTTAAAAAATATTAATGGATAGTTAAAATTTAAGAGATGTGAAGGAATCTTTCAAACAAAAAGTAGAGGATATATGACTTATGCAATAGTTGAAGAGACCTAAATAAAAAGCCCAAAAAGTATTTAGATTTTCAAGTAATGGATCTTGAATTTAATTTGGTCATTAGTCTAGAAAATTATAGCATTAACAGTATTATTGACTTGGAGCAAAAATAAGGATAACTCCAACAAAAAAGGGGAAGCAGAATTCTTTGGTGACAAAAGAGAGAGATATCATGAGGATTTAAGGAATAAAACCTGAGAAAGTTACTCGAGGTAGTTTACATTTATCATAGGAAAAGTTAACTATTGCTATGGGATTTGACAAACCAGAAGAAGAAGAGACTTGATTTCGAATATTTGAATTAAAGACTTAAAAATTAGGTGCAAAAAAAAAATCTATTCAATGGAATTCAACATAAAGTAAATGAAAAGGGGTGAACATTTAAGATATTTATGCATAGTCTAGGGTTAAAGCAATAATTGTGGAAGGATATAACTAGTGAAAGATTGTTGTAGGTGCATGTTGCGCGCTTAGCATGCCTAATTGGCAAGTGCACCAGTCACTCAAGTAATAAAGTGTGTGTGAGTAGAGTGCCAATCCCCCGAGGACTGATTTAATTAATTTGCAAATTTCTACATAACTTAAGCGTTAATTGAGAGAAAAGTAAGTTTGCAAAAATTTAATAAAGATAGA